AATACTGTACACCACATTGTGATTGTGTGCGCCACTTCCAGTCTGACATCATAAGTAGGAGGGCACTCTCTTCCTATTGGTTAACGCCAACAAATCAATCGAAGGACCTCGTAAGACATGTCACCCTATACGACAAGACGAACAAAAATTCTGACAGGCTAAATTTTCGTCGTCGTCGAGTATGTCACAATACACGGGCTCAGACGCGTCAAGACAACTCAAAATCAGCTACAAAGCACTACGTTTGTCTGCCACGCATCTGTCGGCTTGACTCGTACTATGTCGGCTCAGGTCTGGACCAGCTGAGTTGGACAGATGATGGCCAGCTGTTGGCAGTATCCACACAGAGGGGCACTCTTCATGTCTTCCTCACAAAGCTTCCTATTCTGGGGGACAGTTATGGAACCAGACTGGCTTACCTTACATCTCTGCTGGAGGTCACAGTGTCAAACTATGGGGTGAGGACTTGCATTTATTGGAACCCGAAAGACTCCTCACTGGACTCATTGTGTGCCTTAGTAACTCAGTTATTTTGCAGATACCTCCTGTGGCCATACAAGTGGAAGTAGAACCAACTTTTATTGCTGTGGGACCCTACCATGTTGCTGTTGGAATGAACAACAAAGCTTGGTTCTATGCACCACTTCTTGAACAAGAATCTGGTGTGTGTCATGTTTAACAGTCGTCCATTACGTCAGATCACTTCACGCGGTTCGTTTTAATAGACTATTTTTGTTCAGCTTTTACCAAACTGAGGGAGATTGAGTACTTCGGGACAGTTGCCAACATGTGTCTTAATGCAAAATATGCCGCAGCTTTGTTTGATGGTAAAGTGCAACTGCACATGGTAAGTCACATTTACCGTATTTATGTTCTGTGTCCATTAGCTTATTAGTGAATTCCACACAAAACATATTTATGCTTGTTACCTTGTTTGATTTCGAGATCGATGGCAGTGAGCAGGAGGAGAGGAAGCAAATGAAGTTGTTCCCAGACGATGACAGAAAAGGTCGGATCCTTTGCCACGCTCTCACCGCTGACTTCCTCTACTATGGCACTGATGTAAGGCTCGGCAACAGCCAAAGCACTTGCTCATTTATCCATGTTTTAATGATCTGTATTTAGAAAAGAAATATGCAGAATTCCTGTTTCTCATTCCGTTCACTGGATTCCTGAGTTCCTTCTGTTGTTCTTCCAGTTAGGTAACGTTGTGTGTGTCCTGGTGGAAGATTGGGAAACTGTGAGCACTTACAGCCACACCGTGCCATTAAGTAAAGTTTTCCCAGATGTAAATGGCACACGGTTGATCTTTATTGATGACAAGAAGAGCGGCTTCCTGCTCACCCTTTCAAGTGTGAGTACATACAATGTGCACAATTGATACACTTATGGCCAACTGAAAACACAGCCAATTTGAGACCAAGATTCTTTAGATTGTACCTGTGGCTGATAAATCAACAATCTGATATCACTGCAGTACAACACAACATGAAACCCACGAATATATTAAATCACATTCAGGCA